CAATAACAATAATGAAACAAACATTAACTTCTGCTAACAACTAGATCTTGACTGAGAGGACTGTCAGGACTGACTCAGCAAACAGAACCTGTATATAAAGAGAAGAATATGTAAAAATAGTCATTTGTTTGTGATAATGTCTCCTATCATCTTTTTAAGTTATTCATGTTCAATTCTCCTCCAGATGCTCCAAAGCTTCCCTCTGTGTCAGTGAGTCCCTCTGCTGAGATAGTGGAGGGCAGTTCAGTGACTCTGACCTGTAGCAGTGATGCTAACTCAGCAGCTAACTATACCTGGTACAAGAAGACAGTAAACCCCAGACCTCTCAGTGAAGGACCACAGCTCGTCTTCAGCTCCATCCAGTCCTCTGACTCTGGACAGTATTACTGCACAGCAGAGAACGAGCTGGGGAGGAGGACGTCTAATGACTTCACCATGGATGTGAAATGTGAGTGAAAAAGCTTATTTAAATATAACATACAGCTTGAATCTGTCCAGTGTTTGCTGATGATACCTACTCTCTTCAGCTCTACTTTTAGCTTTAGCCTGACATAGGTGCGGACATTTGCAGTGGCCTCTCTTTCAGCTCTGCTGCGTTTGTGCAAAGTTAAGGCTCTTAGTGGTGCTTTTTGTGGCTGGCTTTGGATGGTGGTGTCGTGTGGTTGTGAGTCACTCATCGGGATGAGGACATCAACTTACCAGTCTGTAAACTGTCCTGCTGCTGACTTCTGCCAGTTACTGTAGCTAAGTCAAAGTTCAGTAAACATCTAGGAAAAAGTAAGATGAATGGGCCCTAGCTGCTCGCCACTGTACAGGCTTTGGAAAAGAAATCTTGATTACCTCCGTGCCATATTATTTTCCAACAGGAGTTCATGAATTTTAAGGTTCATTATTTCACTGAAACTTGGCTGAATCCTGGACAGCGCCATTCATCCAGGCGGTTCAGCACAGACATTACAACTACATTAGTAAGAGTACACGAATAATAAGGTGTGAATTGTTTTGTGACTTTAATCCTACTCTAAAGAATAAATGAAAAATATAACGGTTGAGTTGGCTGATAACTGCCAACTGAAGAAGCAGCCAAGCCACCGCTTTAGAGAACTGAACGTTGCCAACCAGCATTGTGGTGCCTTTCATACTCAGACAAAAATGTACACAAAAGTGTGTGCCAGATAATATACATAGAACAAATAAACAAACACTAATACTCACTGTATGACATTAACATAAAAAAATGAATGCATGTTACTTATTGCTGATTATTACAAAAAAAAAAAAAAAAACAGGTCATAGAAAGACTGCGTGCTCTTACTTTGACATGCAGAAATGATGTCATCAGCTGGGTGATCACGTGCTATTTGAAAATGACCGAGTGATACGAGTGCATTTTCGTTCGGACTGGCGGAAAGTTTGTTTCAAAACTCTGTGTTTGTAAAAAGGAAATCCACACGCGTAGAACTGAGATCCACAAATGTTTTTTTGATTCACAAATAAAAAATTTGTTCACAAAAGCCTGATCGAAAGTTGTAAATATTAGGAAGATATTCACAAATGCTTTTCATTTATTTGCAAATTAATTTAATGTATTCACAGATATGTTTTTTATTTGTGGAATGTGTTTGTGTATTTGCAGATCTGTTTTATACTTGCAAAATATTTTTGTGAGTTTACAAATCTTTTTTTGTATTTGTGGAAGGTGTTTTCTATTTACAGATTACACATTTACACACAGATTGTCGATCTGTTCACACACATAATTATGAAACAAATCTATCTCCATAGTATGAAAGCAGATGTGAGTTAAATAAAGTTTCACACACTGAAGCTCCTTCAGTACAAATGAAAGTCTGTCTTCTGATGTTCTGAGTCTGATTGTGGTTCCTGATGTGCTCTGTGTTACAGTGATACAGGGTCAGAATGGCTGGGGAGTGACTTACAGTCCTACTAAGATCTGTGCTGTAAAAGGATCAACAGTGGAAATACACTGCAGATACACATACCCATCCAGAACAAATGGCTGTAATGCTACAGTTGAGAAAACATTATGGTTTACCAAAGTGAATGGACGTGATCCTGTAGATCTGACAACAGACCCACAGTATTCAGGTCGTGTGCAGTATGACTGTGATAAGATTAGGAACAACTGCACTCTGAGAATCACAGACCTGAGAGAGAGCGACGCAGCTGAGTACAAGTTCAGGTTCACAACAAACCAACTCACTGGTTATACTGGTTCAGCTGGAGTCACTTTGTCTGTCACAGGTAACATTTTCATTCATATGTTAATTATTTACAAATGTTCAACATCTAGAAAACAATAATATAGATGTGTTTATTTGCATGTGTGTGTGTTGACAGTTTTGTCTAAAATAACATTCCTGTTCCCTCTTCACAAATCCAGGTCTCCAGGTGAGCAGATCAAATAATGGGCTTGACTGTCAAATCAGTTGTGTACCTGATCGCCCTTCCTTCATCTGGTACAAAAACGGACAGAAAATTCAGACAGAAGCATCTTCTTATTATTATTTAAGCAACTATAATCAAGAAGACAGCTATTCTTGTGCTGTAAAAGGATATGAGGATTTCCCCTCTCCTCCAACATGTGAGTTTACTCCACATATATCTATTAACATAACACCATCTAGTGGAGCTGTGTTATTCATGTTTCCTTAATATGGAGATCCCACTTGTGACTCCTCAATGACTGCACTTTAAAAATGATCAGAAGATGATTTTATCTTTCAGGTGCCGATGGTCAAACCTGCAACAGAGTGACGTACACTGACAGAAACATCTGTGCCTTCAAAGGCTCATCAGTGGACATTTCTTGCACTTACAGCAGTTACAAGAATCATGTTGAATCCAAATTCTGGTTCAGTCCTGAACGTAAAGATCAGTGGCAGAATCCCTCACAGCCTGAGGACCTTAGTAAAGACTCCCAGTTTGCAGGTCGTGTTCAGGTCATTGACACAGAGAGAGGACGCTCCACCCTGAGAATCACTGACCTGAGAGAGAGCGACTCAGCTGAGTATCACTTCAAATTCACAACACCAAGCTTTGAATGGAGGAGTAGTTTACCTGGTACAACTCTGACTGTCACAGGTAAACACAGACTGATGTAAATACACCAACACGGTACATTTAAAAACACTCAACATGTGGATAAGGATCAATGTGTTTGTGTAATTACTGTTGCATAAATAAATAGATACAAATGCTCTCTACCTCTTATAGGAATTAATACTGTTGTGTTGATGTGTATGATATGTACATCCATCATCTGTTTTTTAGACACAGCGATAATATTGTTTCTTGTTCTCATATCCAGCTCTCCAGGTGCAGGTGACCAGAATAACAGTCGGGCAGTTTGTTACTGAGGCAGAGCTGAAGTGTCACAGCAGCTGCAGTCCAGCTGGTCGTCTTTCCTACGTCTGGTTCAATAATAAAGTGGAAATTACTGGAGTGGAGACGTCGTCTTATAAAGCCTGGTTATATCTTGGTGACAATGTCTCCTGTGCTATAAGAGGACGCGAGGAGTTCCCCTCTCCTTCAGTGTGTAAGTTTAATCCACTGTGTCAGGACAAAAAAGACACATACGTTCTGACATTACAACACAATTATAGTTTTACTACTACTACTAGCAGAAGCAATATTCTGATGCATGCTGTGATGTAACATTTTTTAATTTTTCTACTTTTGTGATTCAGTAATATTAGAGGTATAATATGTTGTTGCTCTCAGATATACCATAGTGTATTTTTTTGTGTATACTTTATTTTTTTGTTGGTTTTTATTTTTACTTTATTTTCAGTTTTAGTTTTCAATTCAATTTAGTTTTAGCTAGTATCCAAAATGGGTTTGATTTTTTTTTTTTGTTTAGATTTTATTGTTAAAAATGTTTAGTTTTAGTTTAGTTTTTATTTGTTTTTTCTACAAACAAATAAGCTGAATAAAATATCAGTTGATGCAACAGCTGTAAGTATACAGAAAATATGAGGAGGGATTTGTTGTATTTCATGGGGACGGCCCAATGGAAATGTTAATAAAAGCCTTTCTTTCCAAAATGAAACTAAAGGTTACCTTCCCACTAGTCTCTATATACAGACTCGACATTCTATCGCCGTCTGCTGGAAGTCAGACGCCAAATACAGCCGATGGGTTCCGAGAATGCCTTCCCACCCACAATAATTTTATACGGTCTGCTCTGTAGAATTATTTGGGAAGTGATCCTCCAGCTTGGCAGTATGTAAAGAGAAGAATATGTAGAGTTGTTGAAAACTAATGTTAATGAGTCTAACCTGTGACAGCTCCAGGATCAGAACTCAACAAAGCTGCTGTGACAAATACTAGAGATAATCTTACAAAACAATTACTGCTAAAATACTCTGTTGTCTGTGATAATGTCTTCTATCATCTTTTAAAGTTATTCATGTTCAATTCTCCTCCAGATGCTCCAAAGCTTCCCTCTGTGTCAGTGAGTCCCTCTGCTGAGATAGTGGAGGGCAGTTCAGTGACTCTGACCTGTAGCAGTGATGCTAACCCAGCAGCTAACTACACCTGTTACAAGAAGACAGTAAACCCCAGACCTCTCAGTGACACACCACAGCTTGTCTTCAGCTCCATCCAGTCCTCTGACTCTGGACAGTATTACTGCACAGCAGAGAACGAGCTGGGGAGGAGGACGTCTAATGACTTCACCATGGATGTGAAATGTGAGTGAAAAAGCTTATTTGAATATAACATACAGCTTGAATCTGTCCAGTGTTTGCTGATGATACCTACTCTCTTCAGCTCTACATTTTCACTTTCATTATCATATAGCTTTAGCTTGATGTAGGTGCAGACATTTGCAGTCACCTCTCTGTCAGCTCTGCTGCGTTTGTGCAAAGTTTAGGCTCTTATGTCTACTTCGCAAGTGTTAGTGGTGCTTTTTGTGGCTGGCTTTGGATGGTGGTGTCGTGTGGCTGTGAGTCACTCATCAGGATGAGGACATCAACTTACCTGTCTGTAAACTGTCCTGCTGCTGACTTCTGCCAGTTACTGTAGCTAAGTCAAAGTTCAGTAAACATCTAAGAAAAAGTAAGAGGAATGGGCCCCAGCTGCTCGCCACTGTACAGGCGTTGGAAAAGCAATCTGGATGACCTCCATGCCATATTATTTTCCAACAAGATTTCATGAACTGAACCCTTATTTCACCGAAACTTGGCTGAATCCTGGACAGCGCCATTCAACCAGGAGGCTCTTTTTCAATATGCTGATCTGACAAAGTAGAGGACTCTGGTGAGAGAAGGAGAGTAGGTGTGTGCTTTACAGTGAATAAGGACTGGTGTGTCAGCGGGAATGTGAGGTGCTGTCCTGTTCCTGCTGTGGATCACTGCTCGGGAGAAGCAACCATACAGCCATCTTGGAACCATTTGGAAACATGGACAATAACAAAGCAGCAGCTAACAATGTAAAAAGACCTTTAAAAGGGACTAAATTAAAGTGCACAAGTTAAAGGAGCTGATGGGATCACATTTCACTGGAGTTGTATCTCGTATAACTCCATGTGACAAATAAATGATCGATTGATGGATTAGTTCCACATTCACAGTCTGCTGTCATTAACTGAGCAGCTCCAGAAGATTTTAGGTGTTTTATGCAGTTTTGGGACTCAACAGTCACACATCCATTTGTCAGGGCACCTTCAAAGTCTAAAATACCATATGTTCTTTTGTGGTAACACACCTTTAACCTTGAAAAACCTCTGTTGAAATCTCTCCTCCAGATGCTCCAAGAGTTCCCTCTGTGTCAGTGAATCCCTCTGGTAAAATCATGGAGGGCAGTTCAGTGACTCTGACCTGCAGCAGTGATGCTAACCCAGCAGCTAAAAAGACCTGGTACATGGAAAACCAAAAAGTGCTTCAAGGATCAGACGGTGTATATCAGTTCATGTCCATCAGCTCTGAAGACAGAGGGAAGTACTACTGCACATCTGAGAATCAACATGGACGGATTAACTCTTCATCCATTTTTATAGATGTCCAGTGTAAGTAAAAAGCATCAATACTTATTATGTTTTACAATGAGTCAAATGATGGATTCAAAAAAATGTTGTTGTGAAACTTGGCACAAGCTTGAACCCGAGTGCAACTTCACAGTCAGCAGTAACACAATCCTGGCACAGTGCTGCAACATGGAAGAGGTTCATTACATTATGAGTAGGAGGAAGACTGAATCAGCAACAAGCCTGAGTAAAATCCAAACACGAGTACTTCTTATTGTCTTCTTTGTTGAATTTAGGTCTCAGGGAAATGTCTGTCTGTGTCAGATGCCTTATTATGTTAGATACTTTAGCTATTCAAGCAGGTGTGCTCCATCAGTCACGTCTGATAAGCTTCACCACAAGTACAAATACTGTGACACTGAAATTATATACAAGCAGAAAAATGGAAAACTACCTAAGTAATAGGAATATACAGTAATCCCCTGATGGAAGTAAGGTTTGAACAGCTTCCATTTAGGATTCATCCTGACGGTGGCCACTGTGCAGTATCTTAAATGGTTTCACTGCAGCTAGAGGCCACTAAGTTTCTTCACAGATACAGGATGTAAGTTTCATGTACAGGTCTGTTAGAGGTCACTGTAGCCTGACAGCTAGCTTTGTAGAGGTGACAACAGCCTGTCTTGGGGTCTGCTCATAATTCCGACATCCCATTGTTCCGAAAATGACCCATTGTTCCGAAATCTCAATGTTTCGACATCCCATTGTTCCGACCATATTAAACCCATTGTTACGAAGTCCTGTTGTTCCGAAATCTAATTTTTAATTTTTACAAAATAACTGTTACATTGTTAAGGTCTGGTTAGGTTTAGGCACAAGAACTACTTGGTTAAGGTTAGGAAAAGATAATGGTTTGGGTTAAAATGATAACTTTCAACATCGTTTCTACTTCCTCAAAACAGGGCGACCATTGTCGTCATGGCAACAGTAAACAACACGACAACACAGTCTCTTGTTGCTTTCCCTTGCTGCTTGCTTTTTCAACTTTTTGCATTGCAACATTGAGATTTCGGAACAACGGGACTTCGGAACAATGGGTTTAATACGGTCGGACCAATGGGATGTCGAAGCATTGAGATTTCGGAACAATGGGTAATTTTCGGAATAATGGGATGTCGAAATAATGGGATGTCAGAATTATGACATGGCACCCCTGTCTCAGGACTTCTAAAGTAGGTGGATAACACAGTAACCACCTTCTGGCTTTGGCAGTCCATACTTAAAAACTGGTGTGTAAACAAAGATTGATAAGTTGTCTCTCATTTCTCCTCCAGATGCTCCAAAGCTTCCCTCTGTGTCAGTGAGTCCCTCTGCTGAGATAGTGGAGGGTGATTCAGTGACTCTGACCTGTAGCAGTGATGCTAACCCAGCAGCTAAATACACCTGGTACAAAGAGAACCAAACACTGCATCATGGACCAGAAAACATATATGTTTTCCCCAATATCAGCTCAAAGGACAGCGGGATCTACTACTGCAAGTCTGAGAATACGTATGGCAAGAACATCTCCACAGCTGTTCACATAGATGTCCAGTGTAAGTACAACATTGGGAATTCACTTTGACATACATTGTGTTCATGTAGTGGATGTAAACATCTGATGAGCTGAGGGTGGGAGAAACATGGTCTAAAGTAGCATTATGAGGGGTTTAAATGATTCAGATCAAGTCTATCTTAATACTATACTTGCATGCCATTTGTTAATTTTAAAAAGGATTTTGGTCACTGCAATGATTCCTCCTGTCCATGCTGGCCATGAAATGAAATACTTTCATACAGCAGCTACATTATAAGAAATGGATGGCACAATCCATTTCCAATCCCAAAGTTGAGCTGAAGCTAATATCAGACTTTAGCAGTCACAGTTACATAAATCAACTGTAGCTTCCAAAGTTTCCAAACAGAACTACCAGAACAAAAGTGTCAGCTGCCTCCAAGAAATAAAAACCTGGATGACCACTAACCTCCTCAAACTCAACAGCAAAAAAAAACACAGAGCTCATGGTCGTGACTCCCAGGGCAGTGCTCCGGAAGCTTGGAGAACTTCTCCTCCATGTGGACGGCTGCTCTATTTCTCCTGTGCCAGAAACACGCAACCTGGGCGTCATCCTGGACTCTACTCTCTCATTCGAGTCACACATCAAATCTGTCACCAAATCTGCCTTTTTTCACTTTAAAAACATTTCCAGACTCCGCCTTTCACTCTCAGATTCTGTGGCTGAGACCCTGATCCATGCCTTCATTACATCCTGGCTGGATTATTGCAACAGAGTCCTGTTCGGGGTCCCCAATAAAGTTCTCGACAGGCTCCAGTATGTGCAAAACTCAGCTGCCAAGGTGCTTACCCGCACTAAGCCTTGGCAGCACATCACTCCCACCCTCATTCACCTGCACTAGCTTCCGGTTAAGTTCCGCATAACCTACAAACTTCTTCTTCTTGCATACAAATCGCTCCACAACCTCGCTCCACTGTACCTATTGGACCTTCTCCACCAGCATACCCCATCACGGAACCTGAGGTCCTCTGACTCAGGTCTCCTCTCCATCCCCCGCACCAATAGGCGGACCTTTGGGGATAGAGCCTTCAGTGTGGCAGCCCCCACCCTCTGGAACTCTCTCCCTATGGAGATACGCCTTACTCCATCTCTGGACATTTTCAAGTCTGCGCTGAAAAGACACTTCTTCACACAGGCCTTTGGCAGCTAGTCTTTTTATCTTGCTCTGTCTTATTTTGTTTGTTCATCTGTTGTGTTTTGTTTTTTGTTTTTTGATTTTTCTGTCACGCGTCCTTGGGTCTCCTGAAAGGCGCTATATAAATATAAGCTATTATTATTATTATTATTATTATTACTTGTTTAGCCTTACGGAGACATTTTCATTGCTACAAAGCCGACAGCTTTAATGAGTTGAGAGTAATTCACTAAGCTAAAACATGTTAAAACATGATTAAAACATATTAATAGTGTATTTTCACTTAGTGCCATACAGTAGATGCAAATGAATCACTACACAGTTTGTCTGCGACCATGTTGGGAACCTGAAGCACAGTTTCATGATCTCCAGTGGAGAATTAGTAGAAAAGGCATCAGATGAATTATGAAATTGTCTGTTTTTGAATTATATGTTATTTAGTGCCCCTCCCAGTAGGTGGCAGTCATAATGATGACCTTGTTTCTCTTGGCTTAAAATCTGAATCTGAATCAGCTTTGTAGTACTGTATGTGTGCACATATTAGGAATTGACTTTTTGATACATTTTGTCCTCCAGATGCTCCAAAGCTTCCCTCTGTGTCAGTGAGTCCCTCTGCTGAGATAGTGGAGGGCAATTTAGTGACTCTGACCTGTAGCAGTGATGCTAACCCAGCAGCTAACTACACCTGGTACAAAGAGAACCAAACACTGCATCATGGACCAGAAAACATATATGTTTTCCCCAATATCAGCTCAAAGGACAGCGGGATCTACTACTGCTAGTCTGAGAATATGTATGGCAAGAACATCTCCACAGCTGTTCACATAGATGTCCAGTGTAAGTACAACATTGGGAATTCACTTTGACATACATTGTGTTCATGTAGTGGATGTAAACATCTGATGAGCTGAGGGTGGGAGAAACATGGTCTAAAGTAGCATTATGAGGGGTTTAAATGATTCAGATCAAGTCTATCTTAATACTATACTTGCATGCCATTTGTTAATTTTAAAAAGGATTTTGGTCACTGCAATGATTCCTCCTGTCCATGCTGGCCATGAAATGAAATACTTTCATACAGCAGCTACATTTTAAGAAATTGATGGCACAATCCATTTCCAATCCCAAAGTTGAGCTGAAGCTAATATCAGACTTTATCAGTCATAGTTACACAAATCAACTGTATTTTTCAAAGTTTCTCTGCTGAGAAAGGTAAAATGTTTGCCCAGGGCTAAGTCACAATCTCAATCCAGTATTCCCACAAAGTGTCCAACCAAGGAGTAGAAGAGTACAGCAGAATCTTCAAAAATACTGGATTTAAACATCTGACTTTGCAAAAGGCATCAGATGAATTATGAAATAAGATAAGATAAGATAAGATACACCTTTAGTGATCCCACAATTGAGAAATTCCAGTGTTACAGCAGTCAGGGAGAAGAGTCAGATTAAGAATTTCAAAATTTAAAAACTTAAAAACTAGGCATGCAGAAAAGTAAAAAAAAAATTCAAGAAACTGCAATAAATAATAATAATAATAAAAATGAAAAGTGGATAAAAATGTGAGCATATTTAGTGCAATCTTCTGTTTTTGAATTCTATGTTATTTGGTGCCCCTCCCAGTAGGTGGCAGTCATAATGATGACCTTGTTTCCCTTAGCCTAAAATCTGAATCTGAATCAGCTTTGTAGTATGTGTGCACATATTAGGAATTGACTTTTCGAAACATTTTCAAGTCTGTGCTATTTTTCATCATACAAATGTCTTTTAAACTCATGCAATGGCTATATTATTGAATTATCTCACTTAATATTGTCCTCCAGATGCTCCAAAGCTTCCCTCTGTGTCAGTGAGTCCCTCTGCTGAGATTTTGGAGGGTTTTTCAGTGAATCTGACCTGTAGCAGTGATGCTAACCCAGCAGCTAATTATACCTGGTACAAGGAGGATGAAGACTCACCAAAAGCATCAGGACAGATCTTCACCATCACTGACGTCAGAGCTGAACACAGTGGGAATTATTACTGTGAAGCTTAGAACAGCAGAGGACGTCATAACTCCACCTTTAATCCAATTATTGTGTCAAGTAAGTCATACTGATGTGTCTGTCCATAGCCCAATCACTTACACTTTATCTTAACCTTCCAGTTAAACAAGCCAATCACAGTACAAGCCTTCTTTAGTTACAACACATCATTTATTTCTGCAATCTTCAAGTACCTAGCAGAGAGTTCAGACAAACAGACGTCAACATGTCTTTTTTTGAAATACTTTAATAAGGGCAGCAAAGTGCTCCAAGCCCAAGGGAACCAACCATTGTTATGAAACAGAGCAGAATGGCTTCAGACTTGGCTGTGTGCCCTGGAAGTTACAAACTGATATCAACTGCATAAAGCAGAGATGTAATCCTAAAATCCTTCGGATTCTGTCCATGACTATCCCAAACTGGATCACTTCTCTGAAAGTTGGTTAGTGGCACACGGAGCCAAAACAAAAGCCAAATTCCTGCAGTGTGAAATTACCTGGATCTTCCGCATTACTGTGCCCATAGAGCAAGTGTACTGGCAACTTATGGCGGCTGAGCATATAACTTATGGTTAAGAACTCTGCTAACTTTCCTGATGGTGAAAGGAGTCCATTTATCAGTGATACTCAAAAAGATGTATTCACTGATCACTGATTTATAGATTTCTCTTTCACAGTGTAAGTCTATGGGAAAATCTTTCTGGGCCCCATGACATCACATGACGGACCCTGAAATTGTTGGCCACGATTTAAAAATGGCTTCAAAGCCCGGCGCTGTTTCTAGGGGCTTGTTACTAAATCCAGGGCTGATGGCTGGAGTTGTCCTGTCAGCTCCCTGTCAAAGACTTTTTGTGATACCCTCGTGATGGAGCACACGCATATTCCACCTCTCCTGTTTGCCAGTCAGCAGGTATTGCCCCAAACTTCTGTGCTACACAGCTGTGGCATGTCAACCAACACACAGCCCAGCAATATTTTGTTTGGCCTGGACACCCTCAATTTTGGTATGAACGGAACCGGTTGCGTGTCTGCCAACTGATAGAAGGTCTTAGCTGTCTGCAGAAGTTTAAAGTGAAAATATTTCCAAGCTTTAGGCTTCCTGCAAGTCCTGCAACTCTCGTCCCCTAATCAAGGTCAGCTCTTCTTTCCTTCCAAAAGCAGCCCAGGAAAGACCTTGCCTTCCTTTCCTATGTCATCTGAATATTTGTCAGAAGTTGAGTCCCTCTCTGTGGCCACCCGAACTCTCTTTCCCTAACCTCTCCATGGATGCATGGAAGGTGCCAGCTCTGCTCAGTGTCCAAGACAACGTTTTGATAATTTGAATACAAGATCAATTATTAATCTTTAGCCTGAAGTGCAAAATTTCTCACAGTAAGACACACAATTGTCCAAGCATTACAGACCACCAATATGCTTTCAGGCACGTGGGGTGTTGCACTGCATTGAACATCTGATTTTTGTGCTCACGATGAGATCATTTTCACCTTCAGGGATGCAAAAGCAATGCTACAGTTTCCATGAGTCACTATTTAGAATTCTTCTGTCTGAGGATCTATGATTTAATGTGTAATTATCAGTTGCTAATGGACCAAAACAACCTGTAATTCCATAACTAATTGTTCTGTTTGATTGCTGTTTCACAGGATCAATGAAATCAGTAGCTGCTGGATCCATCACAGCTATTTTTCTGGCTATCATATTCGTCTTAGCCTTTCTATTCATCAGGTGAGCAACTAAGTTTTACTGTGATTATATTCAGTAAATCTGGTCACTTGTATTGTAATTTTGTTTGATGATTAATTTGCTTGTTCATTTATTTTCTTATCCAGAAGAAAGAGGTCCTGGAAACAAACCCCCGAGCCTAGACAGAGACCAGACGACAACGCACAGGTGAGGAAGAAGAGTTCAGGTATCACTCAGAGTCCACTGTCACCGGGAAACTCATGTGAATAGTGCTTCATGTCCCCTTCTGGATACTTTCTTCACCTAAACTAAACTGTTCACCTAATCACAGGGTTGGCGATTTGATCCCTGTCCTCAATCCACAAGACACTGAATCAAATTGGCATGCCAGCGCCTTGTGTGGCAGCTCTGACGCCATCTTGTGTGGGAAAGGGTCAGTGAGGGGCCAACTATAAAGTGCTTTACCCATTTCGGTAGAAAAACATGACATAAGTACAGTACATACACCATTTTGCTCCCATCACCCTCTTTTTTTATCTTGTTTATTTCCATTTGACACATTTTTTTTCCTTTGCTCAGTCATTCTGTGTCTTAAAGAAACAGTGTGTAAGATTTAGGGAGATTTAGTGGCATGTAGCAGTAAGGATTGCAGGCTACAACCAGCTGAAACTTCTCCAAATTCCTTCAGTGTTCATTGGTCAGGTGTAACATTAGTAAGGATGTGTCTTTGGCCCTTTAATGTACCTCTTCATCTACACATACATGTTTGGGTTTTGTTAATAAAAGAGGAATTAGGTAATCCTTGAAGTTTATTGCCCTCTGCTGGTGATTAGTAGGAATTACAATGACAAAAACAGAAGTGATCTCAAACCTGTGGTTCACCCTTTGGCTTTCAAAATGAGGCCTGAATCTTCAAGAGGGAACATGAAAGAAAGATTGAAACCAGGAATTTGAAATTGAAAAAAAAATTACCCTCACCTTTAACTCTGCAGTATTTTCCTATGTAGTCATTTGGGGTTTATACAGGGCAGTACAAGGTACTGAAGTACTCAAGTAATATTTACCCCACAGGCAAACATGGGTGCAATATATGAAACGCCCTCAGCTATAAGACAGAGAACACCATCAGAGCAGCAGGACGACCTCTGCTATGCCAGCGTGAGCTTCTCTAAAAACCAGGAAGATCCTCTCTACTCCAACGTCAGGCTAAACCAACCCAACAGACACAGGGAGGAAGAAGAGGACGAGGATGATGTGGAGTACTCTGTTGTTAACTTTAATTTTGCCGGTGCTGCCACAGAGTGAGTTCATG